TCATGCATGTCATGAATTCCGCCAATAACGGAGCAACGGCACCCGGTGCCGAACGACCCACGCTATTACAACATCCCTTTACCGCCCCACAAAGCTGGAATGCATCGTGTTGGCCACCGGCATTTGCCACGGTCATGGAAGTCCCACTCGCATCGATGGAAAAGGTCGAAAAAACAGTCTACACGGCAGCCGCCGTTCAAGGAGCATCGCCTCATCATCCCGGACGTCCCACGTCGTTAATGGGATTGCAAGTATGGGCCAAGGAAGGACGCGTTTGGAGAATCACCACGCCATCCTATGCCGATACGCTCCGCGCTCACCAGGCATTGTTGACGTATGCCTTTCCAGGAAGACGCAATTTGGGCTATCTCTTTGCCTTTGAATCCAAACGAGCCGCGGTTGTCAATAGTGTCGTGACGGATCCGGCCACGGGACAGAAAACAGTCAGTTTGGCATTGACGCGACGACGATTCGATGCACTGGTCGAATTTCAACGACAATTCAATAGTCGAGGGGCATCGCCCGTGCAACCGTGGAAAATTTGGACCCAAATCAATTCGCAATATCAACTCTGCATGTCCTATCCCAATGTACTGGTGGGACCCGCGTCGCTCGATGAACACAATCCCGATGCCGTGCGGCTCTTGCAAGCGTGTGCCGGATTTCGAAGCGAACAACGATTGCCGGCGTTGGCGTGGGGATCGGGAATTGACGGTGCAAGCATTTGGAGATGTTCTCAACCCAAAATTGGATTGCAAGGAAATCGAAGCAGCGCCGATGAATTGGTCCTCAAACACATTATGGAAGCGGCCAAATCGGCCAATGCATTACGGGAACAACCACTCCCCGTGCGGATGGATGCGCATTTGCTACAAGTCTTCACCGGCGCGTCCGGTCAAGATTTGGCCAATACGCACTGGGTCAAGGAATCCAATTGTGCTCTAAAGATTTTGGATTTACGACCACGCAGTGCTGCCATGGCCAATCGAACGGGTGGCTACGGTTACGAGAATACATCCAACTATCCGGGAACGACGTTGCAGTTTTGCAACATTGGAAACATTCACGCCGTCCGCGATGCCTACCAAAAACTTACCGCGCTCTGCCTCAACATGTCCAATGCATCGGATATCAATTGGGGCTCGGCATTGGAAGATACCAAGTGGTTGTCTCATATTCGAATCATTTTGGCGGCCGCTTGGGAAACAGCCTTTTGGGTGCAAGTGCATCGAATGCCCGTATTGTTGCATTGCAGCCATGGATGGGATCGGACGTCACAGGTCAGTGCATTGGCACAACTCATGCTCGATCCGTACTATCGAACGTTGGAGGGATTTGCCTGTCTCATGGAGAAGGATTTTATGAGTTTAGGACACCCGTTTCATACCCGCTGTGCACATGGCGAGGGCAAGGGTGGAGCCGAAGGAGGTGGGGGTGTGCATCATCAAGACGGTTCTGGAAAGGGCCCCGCGGCGGTGGGAAACAGCAGCGCACCGGATGAAGGCCAGATTTCTCCCGTCTTTCTCCAGTTCCTGGACTGCGTTTGGCAAATTGTCCAGCAATTTCCCGAGTGCTTTGAGTTTACCACTACCTACATACTGGAATTGAGCGATCACATTTATTCGTGTCGGTTCGGGAACATGCTCTGTGATACCGAGCGAGAACGTGAGTTGGTGGCGGGAATTCGGCAACGGACCTATTCGGTGTGGGATCACTTGGAACAAGATCCCAACGATCCAAACAGTGATCCGGAGGCCAAGTTGTGGCGCAACCCGCACTACGATCCAAGTCCCACGGCAGGAGGAGGCGTCTTGTTGATGCCAATGTCAACCTTGCTGCGAAATGTTACGTTATGGCGTGAGAGACATGCTCGTTCGGGACCCAAGGCGACAAAACGATGGCGAAACACATTCACGTCCTAGCAAGTTGATGCACGCATTGGTTTCATGATTGAGGTTTGTTAGCAGCCCACGATCGTTTGGCTTCCAGCCTTGCGTGAGTTTGCTGATACCTGGTAGGCTTCTGCCACACTAATAGTGCTAGTAGAGGAATGAACAGATGTAACCCTTTCTTCGTCCGCACGCAGAGATCCAGTCTGTGGTCTCACTTGACGGAATTCCAATGACCATACACACCAAAACCCCCATCTATTAAACGGCCGGACAAAGCCAAGAAATGGATACCCTTCCGTTAACGCAGAACCAGTACTAGTACGTACCGCAGGCTACCGGTACCTTGATCTCTGTAGCAAGAGCAGTACAACGGAAAATTTCAGCAGAGCCGTGTGATTCCGCGCTGCAGAATCTTGGTCTTTTTGCCCAAGGCTTCTTGTTACGAAGATGCGGTAGATGTTATTTTCGCTGACTATCATTTCTCAGCGGAGACGTCTTTGCAAGATGGTGCTACACAAGATCAACTGTCGAGCTCAGCCTGAGGAGCTGGAATCTCTCAAGGATGACATTTCTTCCTTCAGCCGAGGGCCCCTGGATCGATACGATCTCGATTCCATGGGGTTCGCTCGTCTCGGATTGACGAGGAAGCGAGTTGCGCTGAGTATTCTCACCTTTGCCGTGGCAGGATTTGTTGGCATTCTTCGATGGACTTTCTCTCCTGAATCGATCGTGACGACTGTCACTCCTATCCCAACCTCTTCCGACGCGGTTCCAGAGAAGCTGAATCTTATGATGGACAAGTTGGAACGGCTGGGCGACCAAGTCGAAAGGCTTGTATCGTCGAACCTCAAGGAGCAGACCCCGGACACTGCCAAAAATGCCCAACAAACCGAAGTTGAAAAGAGACTTGAAAAGGTGGTCCAAGGCGCAAAACAGTGGTTTGACGACACAGTTTCTGACAAGCTGCAGGAGATAAACCACACAGTCGTAGATATGCATCAGCAACTTGCCCAAGAGGCACGAGATATCGCAGAGGAATTGGACCGAAAAATCACAACCAGATTGAAAAGTCTAGAAGAGAGTATTGCCGATCGAGTAGAGGATCTCGCTCGTACAGCCTCAGAGACGCAAGAAAGAATAATTGATCTTGCACACAATAGGACACTGGTGTTCCTCAACCATCTAGACATGAAGATCTCCGTCCACCCACGAAGACGGAGGATCGATTAGTCATATTTACTATAGAAAATACAGTACTATACTACCTCTGTACCGTGCAAGTACAAAACCTACACGGCTGTAGAAAGCCTAGTACATACCTAGTGCACGTAGGCTTTCTACAGCCGTGTAGGAATCCTACGTGCACTAGGTATGTAAGTTGCACGTAGGCTTTCTACAGCCGTGTAGAAAGCCTACGTGCAATACGTATGTAGCCCTCTACACGTTTGCACGTACTGACGTCATTCGTTGAATCCAATGAGTCAAATCGATTCATGTCACACTTATGTTTTAGATAACACACTTTTCTTTTCACCTTGGGTTTAAGATACTTCGAAAGGGTACGAATCGTACCTACTAGTACATGTACTTGTACATAATCCGCTCCGGAGTGCATTTGACTGGTCACTTTTACGGGTACCGCAACTCAAAACATGTGCAACTAGATGCCTTTGTCCAGACTAGCTTAACCCTCCTCCTTCTCCCCTCTGGAGCCCCTTCAACTAATTACTTTTACGGGTACCGCAACTCAAAGACAGAGGACCGATTAGTCATGTTTACTATAGCAAATACAGTACTATACTACCTCTGTAGCGTGCGGTACAGATCCTACACGGCTACCGCACGGCTACAGCACGGTACATACGTAGCGTGCAGTAGGATGTGCCGTAGAGGTGCGCACACCGCGCGCGAATGACGTCATTCAATGCGCGCGTCACACCCATTTTTAAGATAACTAATATTTGCTTCCTACCCTTGTTTTAAGATACTTCGAATGGGTACGAACCGTACCTGCATGTACCGTACTTGTACATAATCCCCTCTGGAGTGCATTTGACTGGTCACTTTTACGGGTACCAAAACTCAAAACATGTGGAACTAGATGCCTTTGTCCAGACTAGCTTAACCCTCCTCCTTCTCCCCTCTGGAGCCCCTTCAACTAATCACTTTTACGGGTACCAACCCACGAAGACCTAGTGTCTATGCTTCTAGCCGCGTTAATTAACAATATATGCGTTAATTAACGCACCGTTTTGGTCAGCTCGCCAATAGTAATATAATGCTCTGAATAGTAAGGTAACGTGCTCGCTTTATAGAGCATAGTTAACTTACATGTTGGTCTGTTAATTGACGCTTGAGAGAGCCGAGTTTGATGGGAATGGAAGCTGGCAGGAGCGCTGTATGTTCCGATAACATGACTAATCGGTCCGAATTCTTCGTGGTACGGTACCCCTAAAAGTGATTAGTTGAAGGGGCTCCAGAGGGGAGAAGGAGGAGGGTTAAGCTAGTCTGGACAAAGGCATCTAGTTGCACATGTTTTGAGTTGGGTACCGTAAAAGTGATTAGTTGAAGGGGCTCCAGAGGGGAGAAGGAGGAGGGTTAAGCTAGTCTGGACAAAGGCATCTAGTTGCACATGTTTTTGAGTTGCGGTACCCGTAAAAGTGATTAGTTGAAGGGGCTCCAGAGGGGAGAAGGAGGAGGGTTAAGCTAGTCTGGACAAAGGCATCTAGTTGCACCATTTTTTTTAGTTGCGGTACCCGTAAAAGTGATTAGTTGAAGGGCTCCAGAGGGGAAAGAGGAGGGTTAAGCTAGTCTGGACAAGGCATCTAGTTGCACATGTTTTGAGTTGCTGTACCGTAAAATTGACCAGTCAAATGCACTCCAGAGGGGATTATGTACAAGTACGGTACATGCAGGTACGGTTCGTACCCATTCGAAGTATCTTAAAGCAAGGGTAGGAAGCAAATATTAGTTATCTTAAAAATGGGTGTGACGCGCGCATGGAATGACGTCATTCGCGCGCGGTGTGCGCACCTCTACGGCACATCCTACCGCACCAAAGTATGTATCGTGCCGTAGACGTGCGGTAGCCGTGTAGGATCTGTACCGCACGCTACAGAGGTAGTATAGTACTGTATTTGCTATAGTAAACATGACTAATCGGTCCTCTGTCTTCGTGGTGCGGTACCGTAAAAGTGATTAGTTGAAGGGGCTCCAGGGGGAGAAGGAGGAGGGTTAAGCTAGTCTGGACAGAGCATCTAGTTGCACATGTTTTGAGTTGTGGTACCCGTAAAAGTGATTAGTTGAAGGGGCTCCAGAGGGGAGAAGGAGGAGGGTTAAGCTAGTCTGGACAAAGGCTCGTTGCACATTTTTGAGTTGTGGTACCCGTAAAAGTGATTAGTTGAAGGGCTCCAGAGGGGAGAGGAGGAGTTAGCTAGTCTGGACAAAGGCATCTAGTTGACATGTTTTGAGTTGTGGTACCGTAAAAGTGATTAGTTGAAGGGGCTCCAGAGGGGAGAAGGAGGAGGGTTAAGCTAGTCTGGACAAGGCATCTAGTTGCACATGTTTTGATTGTGGTACCCGTAAAGTGATTGTTGAAGGGGCTCCAGAGGGGAGAAGAGGAGGGTTAAGCTAGTCTGACAAAGGCATCTAGTTGCACATGTTTTGAGTGTGGTACCCGTAAAAGTGAAGTCAAATGCACTCCAGAGGGGATTTGTACAAGTACGGTACATGCGAGGTACGGTTCGTACCCATTCGAGTATCTTAAAACAAGGGTTAGAAGGAAATATTAGTTATCTTAAACATGGGTGTGACGTGCGAGTGAAATGCGCGTGGTGCGCGCACCTCTACGGCACATCCTACCGCTCGTACGTATGTAGCGTGCTGTAGACGTGCGGTAGCCGTGTAGGATTTGTACGGCACGCTACAGAGGTAGTATAGTACTGTATTTGCTATAGTAAACATGACTAATCGGTCCTCTGTCTTCGTGGCATGGTACCCGTAAAAGTGATTAGTTGAATGGGCTCAGAGGGAGAAGGAGGAGGGTTAAGCTAGTCTGGACAAAGCATCTAGTTGCACATGTTTTGAGTTGCGGTACCCGTAAAAGTGATTAGTTGAAGGGGCTCCAGAGGGGAGAAGAGGAGGGTAAGCTAGTCTGGACAAAGGCATCTAGTTGCACATGTTTTGAGTTGTGGTACCCGCAAAAGTGATTAGTTAATGGGCTCCAGAGGGGAGAAGGAGGAGGTTAAGCTAGTCTGGACAAAGGCATCTAGTTGCACATGTTTTGAGTTGTGGTACCCGTAAAAGTGATTAGTTGAAGGGGCTCCAGAGGGAGAAGGAGGAGGGTTAAGCTAGTCTGGAGCGACAAAGGCATCTAGTTGCACATGTTTTGAGTTGTGGTACCCGTAAAAGTGATTAGTTGAAGGGGCTCCAAGGGGAGAAGGAGGGGGTTAAGCTAGTCTGGACAAAGGCATCTATTGCACATGTTTTGAGTTGCGGTACCCGTAAAAGTGATTAGTTGAAGGGGCTCCAGAGGGGAAGGAGGAGGGTTAAGCTAGTCTGGACAAAGGCATCTAGTTGCAACATGTTTTTTGAGTTGGGTACCGTAAAAGTGATTAGTTGAAGGGGCTCCAGAGGGAGAAGGAGGAGGTTAAGCTAGTCTGGACAAAGGCATCTAGTTGCACATGTTTTTGAGTTGTGGTACCGTAAAAGTGATTAGTGGAAGGGGCTCCAGAGGGGAGAAGGAGGAGGGTTAACCTAGTCTGGACAAGGCATCTAGTTGCACATTTTTGAGTTGTGGTACCCGTAAAAGTGTTTAGTTGAAGGGGCTCCAGAGGGGAGAAGGAGGGGGTTAAGCTAGTCTGGACAAAGGCATTCTAGTTGCACATGTTTGCTGGTCCAGCAGATGTTGCTGTTCCTGACGTCCTGACTGAGGATGGATTGTCAAAGAGGAATTTATAGGGAGACGACGAAAGCTTTCCATCCCATCATCTAGAGATCTACGCTACCCCAGTACTGCAACTGCTCGAACTTGTTCTGCTTTCGCGTCTCAGAACTCTTGGCATCTTGCGATTTTGCTTCCGCACACAATTCTCACTTCCGTATTGGACGCCACGTCAAAGAATCTTCTAGAGTCTTCCTGAAAACACTGTGATGGTTCGCATAAATAACCCAGCAGAGCTCTAAGCCACAACACGCTGTACAGTTTTGGCTACAAATCTCGGAGCCTGTCCACGCATACAACAAGTAGTACCGGTAACGGACCACCAATCACCAGATACCAGCCCCTACTGGCACTGATGTTTCCTTGGGGGATGAAAAAGTCAAACAAAATGAAAGTTCCGTAGCGATCAAGCCTGGTTTTTACATTCGGCAGCTTGTGTTAATTAAACTACTAGTTCTGTCATTTTTGCTAGTCGTGTGTAAGAATCGTAGTGATCAGAATGATGACCGTTTCCCTTCTAGCTATAGCTTGTCATCACACACGAACAAACCAAGCAATGATCCCACTAAACTTTCACTTTTGATCACCTTCACTAACTTCATTCCTACCGGTACTTCTTGTTTTCTTACTTCAAACATGTTTGTCACCACCCACCATTACTTCCAATTTCAGTTTCCCTCTTTAGCACCTCTTCCCACTGATCCACAAAGCTTGATGGGTGAGTCTTCCAATTTTTTCTGGATCAAATTGATCACATCGCAGAGCTTCTTGTTGACACAATGTAACGTTGGATCCAGTTGGATCAAACACAATCCACAGGACACCACCACAAAACGATAGAATGTCAACTTCATTTTGTGACGCCCAAAGTGCTCTGGAGACAAGACAGATGTCATGTAGTAATCCTCCGTCAAGTTCCTCTCCAAAATTTGCTTCATGCTGGCACGTTCTGCATTCTGAGTCAATTGTCGATTGGTATAATCAGGGTAACATCCAGAATGAAACTTGTCCAACAAATAGTCATTGAAGCTGCGCTTCCAGCTTGGCTTGGTGGGGGCATAATGCAAACAGGATGTCCAGGCTCGACCAACCTTGCTGTCAGGACGGAGACACTTTTGAATCAGACGAAAGAGTTGGGTATAAATAGCATCCTGCATCGTCTGATTCTGGGAATACTTGGCAGGAACATAATGCTCAATCTGAATGATGAATCATGATTTAGAAAGACGGGCAAGAGAGGAAGAGATTGATGAAGCGACAAAATGACATGAGTTTTGTGTCACAAAAGTAGCCCAAACAAGCAGATTGTCATGCAGTAAGTATACACACCGTGTCCCAGCAGGTCACTGCATCAGCCTTTCCATACAGCTGTTTTTCAAATTCTGGATTTCCCTCAATCTTTTTCCAGTCAGTTAGTAGTACATTGAGTCCACGTTCATGGCAAACTTTGACCTGAGCTGGTGTGATATTGACACCAATGCCAATCACACCACGGCTTCGGACATAGTTGAGCCAATCACCACAGCCACAGCCAAAATCAATCAAAAGTCAGTCCAGACGGCACGCAGGTCCAAGTTGTCAAAACGATACTGGATTTGTCAAGCTGTGCTTGGCGCCGCGGTCCTTCTTGAAGAATTCAATCATAAGAAGTTTAAGCCTGTCAAAGACCATCTCCCGTGGCATTTCCCCTCATCATCAAATATCCAATTGTAACAGGCAACTCAGAGGTCTCAGTCTCATCAATGACAGATGCTGTACATAGTACTATATCATAAATGAAAGGAACGCAAGATAGAAGGGAATCTGCAGCAGCAGTCCCTGTTAAAGATATGCCGTATATTGAGATTGCCCATGTCAACAGATTTCAAACTGTTCCACGGCTTCCAAAGAAGCGGAAAACTTCGCCTTGGCGTTGGCAACGACGGCACCCATCGTAGATATGATGATGTTTCCAAGTTTTTTCTTCCAACAAAGAAAGCTCGGCTTCTTTGCCAAGCTTTAGAAATTAATTTATGAGATCTTTTGGAGGTCACCAGAGAGGCTCAACCTGCTTGGCCATCGTGCACCGTACGGCCTGTGCGGTATTGAATTCGGTCTACATGCAGCTTTGCAGGTCTGGCTCAGTGTGGGGTGAGTTGGTGAAGCAGTTTCGAGTAACTCATCCGAAGCAAGTTCCTGGAGGTGAGCATTTGAGCTATCTATTACCGGTAGTCTAGTAGTCTAGGATCGTATTGCTAGTCAACTATATGGAGCTGTGCTATTGGATGCGGGGAGACTATGGAATCTAACGGTATTGAATGGAATTAGCGTAACCTGACTGTAGCATAGCAGGAAGAATACCTGGTACCCCCGCAGTGCTCACCCACTCCCCGGAATCCCCATCCGATCCTGCATGTCGGGCTGATCTCCGCGTTGGAACGAGCCCGAAAAAAGTCCTCGGTACCAGAAAGAATGATTGATTCGATTCCTCTTTGCGGAGGCGGTTTCCAAACTTCTTTCTTTCTATCTACATGTAGTATGGCAGGTCTTGGACCATCGTCGTTGTCCCTTGGTTTACCCGTCGGATCTGACAACACTTGCTAGTCCAGGTAGCTAGCTACAGTAGCTACAGGTAGCTACAGGTGCATGTGAGTACCGGTACCGAATGCTTGTGGACTGAGTACCTAACTCCGATTTGGATTGCATGGGCTATGTGCTGAAGCCACCAAACCAAGATCATATCACGTGATGGAATGCTCTCTGCCGGATGGATGAAGCCAGAGTTGGGAAAGCAGTGGACCATCAAGGATGTACCGGTGCCGGTCCGGTACTTCTAATCATGCTGTTTGTTTCACATTGCAATGACCCACCCGACAACAGCAGCAATTCTTAAAAATAGACCTGTTGCTGGAGCCAATTCCACTTTCATTGCTGGCTTCATGTACATGTAGTTAATGCACTGGGTGGGCGCTACTAATTGATCCACTTGCTTACTGTACGATTTTTTCAATAACAATCTAGCTAGTACGGTAGGCTACACACATCTCGATCGATAGTTTGCAGTTGGTGATTGTCAGGTGACTGCCCAGCTCGTGGCTATGTATGATATTCATTCGATCACTGTGATGTTTGGCTCCTCCTTTTCAGCAAAATTCGCAGCAGCAGCAGTGGCATCCACAGCGGCAAGAGCAGCAGCATCCGCTGAATCCAACGCGGCGTGGTCCTCTTCTCGTTTCCGCTTTCTGCCAAACCTCGGCTGTGTTTTCATGTAACAGTCCAGTGTTTCCATTTCCTGTTGCTTTCCTTGCAATTTGGCTTCGATATGCGAGATTTGTCGGGTCCATTCCACACGGTTTCTTAAAACGTGGAGAATTGTTCAGATGCAGAAGCACTCAAAGTACAGTATGTACCGCTCTCGACCTTCAAGGCCTTACCTTAAAAAATGGACGACAGCATCATCGAGTTCTTTGAGGACTTCACGAGGAGGCGGTTGAACCTTTTGCGCGGCCGCCTTTTCGGCTTTTTGAAAGGACATTACCACTGAAGACGCCTAGCTGTCTCCAGGAGCGACCTAGTCGATCTTCTTCATGGTAGTGATGATGGGAGGACGACGAATGATACCGACTGCTCCGCTGCTACTACGGTGGCTACCACTGCTGCCGCTGTGATGGTAATAGGAAGACGAGGGATGATGAGAACGGCCGTGTGATGATGACCTCGATGAAGAAGAGCCTCGGGAGGAGGAGTGAGAAGGGTGCGATGAATGGTGGCCAGATGACATGGTACTGTGAGTGTTGAGTCAACGAGTCGAGTAATATGGCTGTTGCAAGGATTGAGCAAGGATGTCGAAAATGGCAAAATTATGGAAAATACAAACCGTGTTACAGTGTAGTCTTTGTTGGTGGTGAATCTAGCCGGTAGTCACGGGCTAGCTAGTCAGGAAGCGTTAGCGAGGCAGGTGCGGCGCGCTTTCGCGAAGAAGTCCAACCGCAAGCGCGGTCCCGAGCCACCAGAGATCCTTTCAAGACCACTTTTCTCGCAAAAAGCGCCACTTCATGTAGTAACGGTAGATCCGCGGATCCTCCAATGACCTCTCATGGTCAATTGGGATCAAGTCATTATAATCTCCAAAAAAGTTTAGTAACACCAGGAGCAACAAACAGCAACCATGAGCGAAGACGATGGCAAGATAGTGGTGATGGTGACTGGTGGGTCTGGTCTGGTGGGGGCAGCCATCAGGGACTACATTGTGGAGACTGGTGCCAAGGAAAAGGAGGAATGGATCTACTTGAGCTCCAAGGACGGAGATTTGCGCAAGCGCGATGATACCGAGAAGATTTTCAAGGAGAAGAAGCCTACCCATGTCATTCACTTGGCCGCCAAAGTAGGTGGTTTGTTTGCCAATATGAATGAAAAGGTAGAGTTCTTTCGGGAAAATATCTTGATCAATGACAACATTATGGAATGTTGCCGAATCTACAAGGTTAAGAAACTGGTGTCCTTTCTCAGTACCTGCATCTTCCCGGATAAAACCACCTATCCCATTGACGAGACTATGCTTCACGACGGTCCTCCCCATTCCAGTAACGAGGGATATGCCTACGCAAAGCGCCTCATTGATACCATGAACAGAGCGTATGCCGAGGAATATGGATGCAATTTCACTTCCATTATCCCCACCAATATTTATGGACCCCATGACAACTTCAATATTCAGTCTGGTCATGTTATTCCAGGATTGATCCACAAGTGCTTTATTGCCAAGCGCGACAAGACAGCCTTCACTATTTGGGGATCAGGAACACCATTGCGTCAATTCATCTACAACAGGGTAGGTCATTAATTTTCTGGTGTTTGCTCCCCTTTTTGGTGGCGTTTTTGTTTCTCACTCTTGCTACTATTATATTATTAATTTAATTTCATCATTCAAGGACCTCGCTGAACTCACAGTGTGGGTCATGAGAGAGTACCATGATCCTGCTCCCATCACCTTGTCAGTCGACGAAGAGGCTGAAGTCAGTATCAAGGATGTGGCATTGGCCATTGCCAAGGCCATGGAGTTTGATGGAGAAGTCATCTTCGACACTTCCAAGGCGGATGGACAATTCAAAAAGACTGCCTGTAACAAGAAGCTCCGCAAGCACCGTCCAGAATACAAATTCACTACCATTGAAGACGGACTCAAAAAAGCATGCGATTGGTTTGTGGAAAATTACGACACGGCTCGTAAATAGAGCAACTACTACCGTACTGGATGACGCACGAAACAGAATCATGGCCGTCCGTAACGGGAACTTTCACAAATAAGAGATGACAAACAGCAAACTTGGATGCATGGATGAAACAGTTGTATATACCACGGTTTGGTGATTCGATTTCGTTTTGATTCCCTGTCGATCGAGGAGCCGTGTGGTGGTGGGACTTTGGAGTTTTTGCTTTGTCTCGAGTTATTAATTCTATGAATAGATTTGTGGATTACCTCAATCAGCCTCGATTCGATTCGATTCGACCGCGTCATCGTCATGGCTGGTCTCTCTGTACCGGTACCAGAGAACTTTGTTGGAGCTTTCACATTACTTATTTTGGTTCAAAATTGCTCTGTAAGGTTGAGGTTCTCAAAACCCAAGGCTCTGAAACCCAAGGGGGATGTTGCTGCCGCAGATCCCGTAGTTGTTACGGTGATGTAGCTACTAGTCTAGCAATGGTTGTGACCAAATCGTGTGCCCGGCGTCAGTCGAGGAGATGGGTCACGTACTTCGTGTATTGTTGCAGGTGATAGTTCAGATGTTGGGCCTGGAGTGGCTTAATGCTGGTGTTTGGGAGATTTCATTCGATTCGTCATGTGTGGTCGCTCATGAAGTTAGGCAAGGTGTTGTTGTCCTCACTTGGAGTTGGGTGCTGAACACCTACTGTAACAGTACAGTAGGCAAATTTGAACCAGCCAACGAAAGCGAGGCAGATAAACACCTCCCTCACCTCCCATGCTTGTCTCTCCACTCCACTGGCTTGGAGGTACTGTGCCAGTGCCACGAAGCTGTCGGACCGATTAGTCATGTTGACTATAGCAAATACAGTACTATACTACCTCTGTAGCGTGCAAGTACAAATCCTACACGGCTGTAGAAAGCCTACGTGCAATAGGTATGTAGTTGCACGTAGGCTTTCTACAGCCGTGTAGGAATCCTACGTGCAATACGTATGTAGCCGTCTACACATTTGCACGTAATGACGTGCGCGCGAATAGGGGAACACCCACACCCAGGTTTAAGATAACGTATTTCTGCTTCGAACCCTTGTTTTAAGATACTTCGAAAGGGTACAACCGTACCTACATGTACTCGTACATAATCCCTCTGGGAGTGCATTTGACTGGTGACTTTTACGGGTACCACAACTCA